GCCATTTGCCGCACACATCGGTGAAGATTCTTGCTAATTATGGATGGTCGGCCCCATTAAGCAAATATTGTAGATGGCTACCTGAATGAGGTAGTTGAGCAATTGAGAGCTTGGTGTGGCCAGCTCGAAGTCCAGATTTGAACACACTCTTTTGGGACCAACTTAAGCACATGTCCGAGAGTTCTTGCTTATTAGCCGTAGGACTTAATAGTCGAGAAATCAAGTAAATTTTTATTAAAAGTAGTTTTCTCCCTTTGTCGTGCATGTATTTTAAGGTTAATATAAATCGGACGATTTGGTATTTTACGTAGGATAATAAAATAATAAGTGCTACAAGTAAAATCATGTTAAATGAGATTGGATGTATTGGTTGAAAAAAGGCTAATTTGGTTGAACAAAGGTTTAATGTGGTAGAAAAAATATTTATTTTGACTTCTTTAAGGAATTTGATCATTCCTTGGCATTTCCTTTATCTTTTTGTACACATGTGTATTGACACAATACTTGATGAGCACCTCAGACTGAATTATAAAAAGAAAATATGGAATGTCACTCATTGGACACAAACAATCCAAAAACTGGACGGTATGACACATGGCTATGGCTGGCTAGGTTAAAGCTCTCCCCCCCCCAAAAAAAAAACTTTCTAAGGAAAGGGCATAATGCAAAAACTGCGAATCCTAACATGACGCTGCAAACTAAACTGACATCTGAAGAAGATTGGCATAACCCAACATGGCATGCGCAGATTCTGCAAAGAAGCAGAGGAGACACCGGCACACCTGCTAACAAACTGGTGCTACACTTTCCCGCAAGAGGACGTGTTTCGGGACGTACAATGTAACCGTAGAAAAAGATTCAACCACTGGACTTCCTTGATGGACTAGGACTTCCTGGTGTGCTTTAAGTACAGAACGGTGATACAATAGCTCTAAAGGGCGCAGTGTAAGACACTCCTCGACTAATACATCTATCTCGAGCAGTTGGGAAGTACTGTTCAAAGGACATTTCCAAACTTAGAAGGTGTTCACATATTTCATCAGTTCGCAAGCTCCAGTTTTTCTTCAAAAAATCATGTAACAGGAAAAAATACACCTCTTGCTTCTCAATACATTCATCCCAAAACTGGATTTTTCTTTCGAAGGCGCGTCTTTGTCATTGGCATTGAAAGTTGTTATATTCTTCCTTTGCAAAGAAAGGCTTATCACTTTCATTTTCATGAAAATGTCTGATAAATACAACAGTATATATATTACGCAGGGCGGGCGACCAGGACCCGAGGGGTTAAAAGCCTAGGGGTAGGCCCGTACCCCATCCCTAAAAGGTCCGGGACCTGGTCAGCTCACGAGTCCTGCATAAACCTTTTTGGACCTATTCACAAACCCCAAGATTTTGGACCATTTTATCTTGGGGAGTGTTTTGGTTATGTCCTCTCCTTCGAAAGTTTCAAATCTTTCCCTAGCATACCTATCACATTCTGCAAGGTAGTGTCGAGCCGTTTCTTCCTTTATTTCACAGAAGAGGCAAAAGGGGTCTGGTAGAGTACCCATTATGAAGAGGTGTCTTCTCAAGGGGCAATGGCCCGTTAGGATACCTATCAGCCTCCTAATACCCTTCCTTGAGTTAGAGAATAGGCATTTCGATTCTACTGGTTTGATTTCCTTCAGAAATTCCTTCGATTGCCTGTGTCCGGGGGACATATTCCATTCTTTAAGGAATTGTTTCATGCCCCAGCAACTAATACTCTCTTTCGCTGTGCTTATAGAATGGGGTAATACCGGTTGTGGCCCGACAAACGCAGTATTTGATCCTTCTTTGGCCAGGCTGTCCGCCTTTTCATTGCCATAGTGCCCCTTATGAGCAGGTATCCACATGAGGATTACCCTATTCTCGTCCTAGTAGTTATCCTATTGATAAGTTCAACGGTTTCCTCTACCAGCCTAGATGTAGATAACTCTTTTTGTAATGACTTAAGACTGGCCTGACTGTCGGAAAAAATTCTAATATCTAATATTTCCATTGTCATTCCATTATTTCCATTCTAATATTCCATATAATCTAATATTTCCATTGTTAGTTATTATTTGTGCGTTGTTGGTTTTTTGTTTTTTCCTGGTGTTGGTTGCGATGTTTTGTTCTCCTGAACGTTTTCGTTTTTTGTTATGGAGTGTTTTTAGTGGTGTGAAGGTGGTGTGTGATTGTGAGTTTGTTTGTGCGTTTATAAGTTTTCCGTCTTTAACAAAAAAACCCGCGAGTGAAGACAGAGCCAGTAGTGCCCGTGTGCCGGTTCAACAGTAGTTGATTATTAACCTTACTCAGTAAATGTAGAATTTTCGAGTGTCCTATATTGTTTCCCTTATGATTCCAGCTGCTTTCACTAATTAATCTCTAGCAGCTGGATAGTGCTCTAACCTTGACCTCTGTGTGTAGAGGTGTAGTATTGGTTATCATTTCTAGTGCTAGGGTAGGTGTAGTGGGAAATGCTCCCGTCATCATCATACAACCTAATCTTTGAAATGACCTTAACTTATTAATAGCCCCTTTATTTTCTAGACCTTTCCACCATACTAGGGCTGCAAATAGAAATCTTGGTAGTATAATTGCGGTATAATACAACAGTATACATTTCCACTTCTCATAATCGAAAACTTAGACAATTTGACATTGTGGTCCATCAACAAGATAAGACTTCAGAAGTAATTCCTGGAATCGAGAGACGCCACTTCATTTCTGTACGGAGAAGCAGGGAATGATGAAGGCTTATATTGTCACATAAAATTATGAAAAATCTTGACTTCAATGGCCGCGACTTGATATGTAATACGATTCAAAACTTTATTAAAAGAGGCTGGCGTTTGTTTCATAGCTAAAGCATGTCTGTGGAGAACACAATGACTGCTGCTGCACAATAAAAAACTTTCGTTTTCAGTACTCATTGTTATTTTAAAATGTTTATTCAATCTCATTTGAATTCTGAAGCAATAAACTGATCAATTTCCATCTTTGTTTTCTTAATTTCCATTTTTAAACTTAAAAATGCCACTTAGTGCTGAGGATGTTGCGCGTGGTGTGGTACTTATTGATGATAATTATTCAGAAATCGTGAGATGCGGTCTGGTGTGATGTAGGTTTCAGAAAAACATTTTCTTTATCGTGCCAACGTTTCGATCTTTATTGAGATCATCTTCAGGGCTCAAAGTGTTTGTGTTCTGTGTAATTGTGTCATTCTTGTGTGTCGTGTTGAGAGTGCCCACGATGCATTTCGGCAATTTGCCATCTTAAGAATGTCTTAATAATAGCATCCTAACTTTCTTACCTCTGTTAAATTGTCAAATTTGTGTGGTGACCAACCTGGCAAAGATAAGCAGGCGAGAATGGTAATGATTAAATTACAGGTTTTTAACCCTGTAGACTACACAAAGGTATTTCACAATTTAATACGTCTAGCCACAGTCACAATGACACAATTACACAGAAGACAAACACTTTGAGCCCTGAAGATGATCTCAATAAAGATTGAAACGTTGGCACGATAAAGAAAATGTTTTTCTGAAACCTACATCACACCAGACCGAATCTCACGATTTCTAAATAAATATTCACAAATGTGGAACTTAAACCAATGTTTGAACAAGGATACCACAAATTCTGGTTACAAAAACAGATCCTTTATATCCTGCATTTTGGGTTATTGTACAGTTGACTGTTTTCCCATCTTCCTATTTGGTAGATCGTGGATTCAGTGCCGTTATGAACCTCATCACAAAAAAAAAATTCAAAAAAAAAGAAATTAGTGATCGTGGGGATTTTCGGTTGCAACTCACAAACATTGAGCCGGACATATATACAACCGAGTGACAAAATTATAGACACATTAAAAAATCACGATTTCAACAGTGAAAAATGATTTCTTTTACCATTAGAATATTGTTCATGATTACAATTAATTAAGGTTTTCAGTTGAGATAAAAAAGTCAACGGCACGAGCGGGATTCGAACCCACGATCTTCGGCTAAATACGCTGCTGCTCTACCACTTGAGCTATCGTGACCTCGATCCACTCGGACACTAACTTCCCATCTCAACCCCACCTTATGAGTTTTCCTTCCTTTTTGTCATTTTTCAAATGTCGTGTAATCTATTTGATTCTCGGCGACAAATGATGATGGGTTCGAATCCCGCTCGTGCCATTAGCTTTTTTCATCTCAACTAAAAACCTTAATTAATTGTAATGTATTAATTGGTCAAGCGGACCACGAAATTAATGAATTATAGAAAATCTATGGGGAAAATTATCGAGGATGGTATATCAAGACTGTAAGCAGTACAACTCTGTCGACGAACTTAGAACAGGTGTCACCACTGCCCGGAATAATTTGCCTCAAGATTTTATTCAAAATTTGTACAAAACCATTCCAGAAAGATTACTGTAAATAATAAAACTGAGTGGTAATGTCACAAACTATTATAAACTTGTTTTAAATTGATTTTATCCCATGTGTCTATAATTTTGTCGCAGACAAAATAGTTTTTTCTCTTATTTACTGAAAAATTAAAGTTAACTGAAGAAAAATATTTATTTCGTGTGTTTTGAATAAATATTTGTAGTACATTAAAAAATCATAACAATTAAGGGTGTGTCTATAATTTTGTCACTCGGTTGTACACTCATAACATCTCATCACGTTCATCCAAGTCATTAATTTTTTTATATTTTATTTTAAACAAAAGGAATTAATATTATAATTTTAATAAATATATCTTCAACAATTTTTTTTTAATTTGTAATTTTTATACTATGCATTTATGTATGCCGCTTTTTCACTTGGGGGTCCGTGGGCAATTTTTGACTATAAAAAAGGGGCCCATGGGTCAAAAAATTTGGGGAACCACTGCGCTAGACTTTGTTGACGTGTCGGTCTGACGGGCAATCGGTTACTACGTAACTTCGATTTGGTTTCTTTTTGGATTGGGGGCACTGAAAATTTCAGTTTAAACTCTTGTAGAACTTGTAACTGGGTATATTTACCCGTAATAAATAAATAAAAATAAAAGTTTAGCATGGGATAGCAACGGTGTACAGGTATCGATGGAGAAAACTCCTATCGAAGTACAGAGTCTGTATCGATAACACTCACGTCTGTAGATCCCGTTATTCACAGCACAGGCATCATCACAGCCAAGGTCTTTTGAGTTCCGACAATAAAGCCCGTCGACGTATCGCCCGCACTTCAATCGGCCACCTACCTCGTTGGTAAGACATCACTCCGACACTCACCAGGTAAATTGTTCGAAATTATTATTTTTCATAATCTCTCCCGATTTTAAGTTTTAAGTTCGGCCGTTTTACGCATTTATGTCGGTTAATGTTCGAATTGGCCGGAAAATGAAAAAACTACCGGCCGGTCGCAATTCCACCCGACCGGCCTTGCCCAATCTCGGCGATTTGCATATGAAAAGCCCGGCCGGCTTTTTCTATTCGATTGTTTCCACATTTTTTTTTCTGCCGTATAAATTAGAGACAAAACTGCACTTTTCGATTTTTCACCGGCACAGAAGAAAAAAAAAACTTGGTATTCCCCAACCTTGAAACCACGTGCGAGTGGTTTCTGCTCAAGGACCACTCAAGGAACTGCTAAGTTCTTTGTTCCCATACCTGAATTTGACCGATCTTTCACAAACTTTTACCACACAATTTTCTAAAAAAAAACCCAAATTTTCTTAAACAATAGCCTATTATTATCAAGTTTAATAACGTATATCCTTTTATTTTCGAAATAATTTTTCTATTATATTCTCGTTTTATTTTATTTTTTAAATTTTACTTAATTGTTCACTTGTTGCACAACCTTGAATCCAATTTCAATGATTTTTCAGCACCAATGATCCTTGATCTTGTTCAGACAAGAAATTTCATTACTTCCACATGTTCTCTAATTTATGAAAAGAGAGAAAAAAAGAAAAGAAAAATAAAAGGTTGCCTAGTTAAAATATTTTCTGGCTCGTTTTTACTTTTGATACCAAAAATAGCTTGCACTCCTTGGTTGCCGTTCAATTGGAAAACCCTGGCAACATTGAACATGACTGTACTTGCAAAGAAATACACTTGTATAGACCCAAAGTTCAAGGATTAGTTTGAGATTACAACATGGAATCAGGAAAAACTTTTTAAACAGTTATAAATAAAGACTGGATTCCCATGCAATTACATCTTTTGCCAACTAGATTGCAATAAAACCGAGACAAAAATTTGATTTGTGAAAAGGACTTATTTTTAAAATACTACTCTTATTTTGCATTGTTTGGTGTTACTTTATATTTTCATGCACAAAATTTCATATTTATTTTTTATGTGAGAGAACAACGTTAAAATATATTAAATTCACTATTTTTCTTGGTCTGCTTGACCAGTTAATATTCAATTATTTAAGGTTTTCAAGTTGAGATAAAAACGTCAATGGCACGAGCAGGATTCGAACCCACGATCTTCGGCTTGTTACGCAGCTGCTCTACCACTTGAGCTATCGTGACTTCAATCCACTCGGACACTAACTTCCCATCTCAACTCCACCTTTTTAAATTTTCCCTCTTTTTTGCCATTTTTCAAATGTGTGTTCTATTTTTATCTCAACTTAAAAACCTTAAATGATTGAATGATATTAATTGGTCAAGCAGACCACGAAAAATAGTGAATTTAATTAATTAAAATGAAGTATACTTCACTAAAGCTCTCTGTGGCCATGTCATTCGTCGTCGAGAATCAAATCGCAGCTTATCAAGCCAAACATCGTGGGTTCGAATCCCGCCTGTGACACTAATTTTTTTTATCTCAACTTAAAAACCTTAAATAGTTAAAATATATTTATTTATTATTACATCGACGTCAAGCAGCCAATTTTTACAACAGTACACAGACTTAAATTATCTGGAGTAATATAGTTTTAATTTTGGCAAGAGTTGAACAGAAGTCCAGATCACTATTTAAGTTATTAGCTTTAGTACATATTCTAGGAATGGGAGCATTTTTTTAGCATCACGACCGACGAGGATGGGGTTATAGTCGTAGACCTCGTGGTCGTATATGAGACCACGGGTGCGTTGACGCGGTAGCAGACCTCAAGGTGCGGAAGTACGGGGTTTTGAGGGAAGCCCTCACGGAGCTGTACCGGAAGAGCTATTTTTTGACGGCCAGTGTAGTAGTGGAGGCGGGAAGATGCATCCCTGAGCGAACCCAGAAGACGCTCAGGGACCTCGGTGTGAAAAATCTGCCGAGGTTGCTCCTCACCCTCTCCCTTCCTGCCTTGAGGTCCTCGCTGTCCTTTGCCTGCGGCCATACGGATCGGGAGCAAAGCTTTTTAGCGACCCATCCAGCAAGCAACACCCACCGGAAGCGACGGACCTGGCATAGTCTGCGGGACACACGATTGGACCTGGGTGTGGGTGAAGTTGGGAAGTACGTGCCCGCACTACAGGATATGACAACCGGCATAGGAAAGAGATTAATTTTTATTTAATCAGGAAAAAAATAGTTCTACAAAATGGTATATGGAATAGAGGAGTGAATCTGGTCCTCTTATCTGGTACATTAAAAGATATCTTCTCTAACAATTCAGGACAATTAGTCATATTCCTTAGTAGTTTTACAAGAAAAATAATATCAATAGATCTACGATCTTCTAATGAACTAATGTTTAGTACATTTGTAACAGTTTCATACCATATCTGACTAGAATTTAGACCAAGTTTGTAAGAACGGTATTTAAGAGAGTAATTATTTATCAGAGTAAAAAAGCAATATTTTCAGGCAAAATATACTATTAAAGTCCTTTGTATTTCTTTTCAAGAAACCAAGTAGTTTCAAACAAGTTTTATGATAGATTTACATTTATGATAGATTCAATATGCAGGCTAAAAGAAAGAGAGAAAACAAAAATTACACATATTATTTAAGGCTATCACAGATATTATAGTTAAATTGTAATGCACTAAATTTCTTATGAATGGACATTGCATTTATGAAATTTAGTCATATAATTTAGATCACACCATCTAACTAGATTAGTTATGTCTAGTAACAATTCACAGTCTCCAATAGATTTTATTATTTTAAATATTTTGTGGTCATCCGCAAACAACTTAAATTGACTATTTGTAAAATACTTAACAATATCATTAACAAATATATTAAAGAGCAAAGGTGACATGTGGCCACCTTGTGGAATGCCACAGAGGTAACAGATACGGTTCTGATGCCATATTATTTATCTTTACAATTTGTGTTCTATTAATCAGAAAATCTCTCAACAATAATTTTTATTCAGTTAACCTTTTTATGTAAGGTTTTAATCCTGCTTGTGACACTAACTTTTTCGGCTTCCCTCATGACTTTTACGTCTAATAAACATTGAAAGACGGCTATCCGAAAAAAAGCAGCACCTTCATGTCAAAAGGTTGACAAATTGGTTACAATCTACAATTCATAGTAACAAACTTATTCTGAGAAATGACAGCTGTACTGTCTATCTAAGGACACCCCAAAATAATTCCCTGTGGAAAATGGTTAACCGTTTTAAACTTAAAAAATGACTGCCACGAATGAGCTATTAAATAAAAACATCCTGCATCACTGATGTCGCCGTGGAGGAAAATTTTGCATCAATGCACCTTTTTACAATTAATCAAGAACCATATCTGCAAAAGCTTGTTACTAAATGATTTTCATTCTCTCCTCATGAATGTACTTAGTCACTCTAAGGAAATCTGTGAAATTCATTCATCTGCATGAAAATAAAGTCACCTGGACCAAATTTCCAACTTCGTGCTTTAAAGAGCCTTCAGGGGAAAAAATTGATCCTACTAACCCACTTCTTCAATGCTATATTTATTGTCCTGTAATCATATAAACATTAATTCAAAAATTTCTATAGTATAATAAATTAACAATTTTCCTTTTCTTAATAAGTAAATTAAATAAATTATTGGGTTGTCCGGAAAATAATGCAGGATTTTAAGTTTTCATTAAAAAAAATCTATATAAAATATTCTGTTTACGTTTACAGGATTACTCATTTGTATGAATGTCAACACTTATTAATCCTCTTCCAAATGATATTGTTTGTTTACCTCTGTAGCATTCCGCTACTTGGAAATAATTCAGTCATCCTTATAATGTCAAAGCGAGAATTTCGTACGATTTTCTTTTACGAGTTTAAACTCGGCCGAAGCGGAGCCCAAACGGCTAGAAACATTAACCAAGTCTGGGGCGAGGGTTGTGTTAATGAGTGCACTGTGCAAAGGTGGTTTAAAAAATTTCGGGAGGGAGATTTCAGCCTTGAAGATGAAGAAGGTCGTGGAAGGCCTTCCTCTCTTAATGATGATGTTCTGCGATCAGTGGTGGAAGAAAACCCCAAAACAACTGTTCGAGAACTTGCAGAGCAACTCAAAGTCAGTAAAACGACCGTCGCTGACCACCTCAAGGCGATTGGAAAAGTGAAAAAACTCGAAAATTGGGTTCCACACTCATTAAACGATCGCCAAAAAAATCAGCGCTTTGATGTTTGTGCATCACTTCTTTGTCGAAACAAAAATGACCCATTTCTGGCCAGAATTGTTACATGTGACGAAAAGTGGATTCTCTACGATAACACTAGACGTTCTGGACAGTGGCTCGACAAAGGAGAAGCTCCAATACATTTTCCAAAGCCCCCAACTCATCAAAAAAAGGTAATGGTTACGGTATGGTGGGCTTCATTTGGTTTAATACACTACAGCTTCTTAAATCCTGGCGAAACCATCAATGCTGAATCATACTGTAACCAAATTAATACCATGCATCAGAAATTGGCAGTAATGAAGCCCTCTTTGGTCAATCGGAAAGGGCCCATTTTGTTGCATGACAACGCTCGACCACATGTGTCACGTGTAACGTCACAAAAATTATTGGAGCTTGGCTATGAAACTTTGCCTCACCCACCCTACTCTCCGGACCTCTCGCCTACTGACTACCATTTTTTTAGACACCTGGACCACTACTTACAACACATAATATTCAAAAATCAAACGGAACTGGAAAATGCATTTATTGACTTTATCAATTCTAAAAATTCTGAATTCTACTCAGACGGAATTAATAAGTTACCAACACGTTGGGAGAAATGTATTGAGAGTATGGGAAATTATTTTGATTAAAGAACATTGCTTTAAAGTAACTAGTTTCTTTTTTTTTGTTTAATACCAAAATCCTGCATTATTTTCCGGACAACCCAATATGATAAATTAACAAAATAAATGAATTTAAAAACAGGCCTATTATTGAGCTTGAATGCGTCTTTTTCGCCAGCCCTATTCCAATGTATGAGCATCCACATACAATTATTTTGGCCCATCCATCATTCTGATCGCATGACCGGCCTAATTCAATTTTTGTAATTTGACAAGCTTTCCACATCCTGGACTTCAGATCTCTTGTTTTCCCCCGTCCTTATTTTATCCTTTCGATGAATACTTTTCGAGTTTTTTTCCAAAGATTTTTCACTTTTATCTCTTGCAATGATTTCATAATGAGAGACAAAGTTCAGCATAAATTAGAGAAGGAATTACGCTTGATTCTAGGATTACACTCTTTTTTTAAAAATGTTTTAATGCCCAGTATTTATTCCATGAAATTGAAATTACACGGTTAATTTCTATTATTCCTGTTGTCGAAGTTGATTAATGGGCAAACTTAAACTTCAAACTTTCAACATATTCAAGCTTTCTTCCCTTTTTAATTGTATTTTTAAATTTTTTCTGTTTGTATTTACTGTTTTCTTTTCATTTAAATCAAATCCTGCCTTTTATCATCTTGTTAATTAAACTTTTTTTCCGTTTAAATATTTTTATGACCAAGTTTTCTTCATATTCTTAATATTTCTTTTATATAAAATTGAAGTTTCAAGGTTTCTTGTCGACGTCAATATTTCGCAAATAAAAGTTCTTTCTTTATAAAGCCGTTTTGTTCATGGTTTTCATTTTTGCCTTAACTGTATATGGAATTGTTATTCTTTTTTATTCTAGCCGGTTGTCATGTAAATCGTATTGATTCTTAACTTCTCACACCCCCTTGTCCAACAATGGAACGTTGTCAAACAATGTGAATATTTAAATTTATGCAAACAGTACATTCATATTGGAAGAACCAGCAGCTTCCTATGATAGTTTATGTCTTGAGTAAATAATAAAAATAAATATTGTGGCAGAGTGGTTAGGGCATCTGTATTCGCTTTTGTTCTAATCCTGTCCCAAGGAATTTAATTAAAATACTATGAAAATAAGTATTGTAGATCCCTCATCTAAGTCATGCTACGGGTTAGTTGGACGTTGAGCTCTCCTGTATGACAGGAATTAAATTTTACAATAGAATTGGAGATATTAAAATTGTGAGATTATTATTTTGGACTGCAGGGTAATAACGTATCGTTTTATAGTTAGGTATCATCTTGGTGCCATCCTCGCTGATTTTTTGTTTGTTCAGATGTGTTTCAGTATTTCACCATCTTTAGTGTTTGTTTATTGACAAATTGCCGTCAAACAATATTAAAATTGTGATTAAAAATGAGCATACAACCAAAAAAGTACTGGAAGTTTTAGTGTGTTTTACACATAAATGAAAATTGTGCTGTTTATTAAAGCATTTTATTTTGTAGGTAAAATTTAAAAGAAAAAATGCCTCTTCAACTCCAAAAACCTGCACCCCAGTTCAGCACTGTCGCAGTTGTCAACAAAGAATTCAAAGAAGTTTCGTTGAAAAGTTATGAGGGGCAATACGTCGTCTTATTTTTCTACCCACTCGACTTGTAAGTTGTAATTTTTAATTATCTCATTGCGAAATCTTTATGAAATTGCCTCTTTTTTTTCCAGCACTTTCGTATGCCCGACAGAACTCATCGCATTTTCTGACCGACTCGCTGATTTTGAGAAATTGAATTGCGTCGTTCTCGCTATTTCCTGTGATTCTCAGTTCAGCCATTTGGCCTGGATCAACACGCCGAGGGAGGAAGGTGGCCTAGGTGACATAAAGCTTCCACTTCTTGCTGACAAAACAGGTAATTTTGTACGTATATACATATAGTGGAATGACACACCAGTCAACATTTTTATCTTTATCACCATCTTTGATAAATTTTTTTTAACTGAACAAACAGATTTTTTGTTACCTTGAGCTTATCTTTGATAAATAATAATAAAGGTTCCACTTTTTCTTTTATACAATAATTTTAGAAAATACTTCAAATTACAATCTTTCGAACTTACAATTTGTCAATATACAAGACATATCTGATTACAATTTATTGTAAAATGTGTAAAAATTTTCCTATGAATTTCAATTTCATTTTGTGGAGCTTCCTGTAAGTGGACGTCACTTGGGAATTTTTCCACTTATGTTTTAGAATACTTATAGAAACATGATTAAAAAAATTTAATTTAATAATTTAATTATGCATACAGACATTAATTTTCTCATTCTCATGATTAGTAATGTCTGATCAATTAATGGCTAATAACAAGCTATTGCTGATTTTGCTTGAACTTTAACCCTTAATAATTTGTTGGATTCGTCAGGAGTGGTCAGAATGAGGTAGTTTAGAAAAACACCTTTTTTATTTTTTTGCCAACGTTTCAACCTTTATACAGGTCTTCTTCAAGGCATAATATAGTGTGGTGCTATTCTTGTGGTGTCATATTGGTGTTGTGTGAAGTTGTTAAATCAATCTCAATCACAACCGGTCACTAAAAAAACACATTTTTAAATTGAGAGTCTGCGAGGTGATGAACCACTAGTTACGTCTTTTCTGAACGTTTTGATCTGTTAGATTTCAATTCACAAATTTTGGCTTGTCACCATTTTCAGTGTTTGGTATTAACCAAAATTTTTTGAAACTGCGAGGATTAAAATGATCAGAAATGAGTTAAGCCGGGAACACACTTGCCCGATGCTATACCATGTGATGCTACCCGACGCCTTGCCACATTTTGGCAGGGTGTGCACATCTACCGATGTCAAGCGCACGCCATGTACAGTCCACAGCGTGTGTCACAAATCAGTATCACAATCTCAACGCCTCTTTTGTTCTTAATGCATTATTTTGAGCAAAACCATGAAATAAATAGTTAAATTTTATGAGCACAACCGTGTAATAAATTGTTGGTTTAATTTAATTATTTTAAATAAAGTTATTCAGGTGTTTTGATGAATTTTCTGCCTAACCATCATAAATAATTTTTATAAAAACTTGAATTTTTGATCTCGTTTAATTTGGGTTATATTAAAATAAGAACGTTGTAATTAATATAACGACAAGTTTAAAATAAACTACAAAAAGAGTGTCCTCAATGGTGTAATTTTATGAGCAAACCCATGAAATAAATTGTTAGTTAAATTCATTCTATCAATAAATGGTATTCCGGTGTTTTGATAAATTTTCTTCCTATCCATCATAATTAAATAATTTTTATAAAAACTTCTGAATTGTTGATCTCGGTTAATTTGGTTTATATTAAAATAAGTATGATGTAATTAATGTAATGACAATATATACGTAGTTTGAATAAAAATATGAGTGTCTGGTTCTTTTGTCTTCGACTGTACTCGATGCGATGAAAATTTGGACAGTGGGGATCGCAGAGCATAGAATAGGTTAGTGTGGTAAAGCATCAGGCAGATGTGCACGGGGGTAATGCAACCTTATGAAAAATCGAAGTTTGGATTTGCGTCGGGTAGCGTCGCATGGCGTAGCATTGGGTAAGTGTGTTCTCAGCTTTAATTACACTTTTACCCTTATCCAGCTTATTTTCTGAAGTACATTTGTTTGGACCCCCTGATCTGGTATATCTGTCCAGTGAAACTTCCTATAATGGACACCTCCCTTGAAGATACAAATTCTGATTCCCGGAGTCTTCCTATTTGCACTTCTTCACCTTAAAATTTTCTGTAAAGTGGACACTCCCAATAATAGACGTGGACAGCTTTTTTCACTGTTCTACCTCCTAAATCTCACAAAAGTGGTCAGTATTGTTACAGTATTGTTCTTTGTCTCAAATGACTAAATTTTGATTATGCCACTTTGTAAATATGCTTATGCTCTGCAGGGTTAGTTTTTGAGTTTGGACGTGATAATATCAAATTAGGGCCCTCTTTGCAAACATTTGATATTTAAAAAAAATATAATTAAAATCTTTCAATTAATTAAGGTTTTTATTTGAGATAAAAAAGTCAATGTCACGAGCGGGATTCGAACCCACGACCTTTGGCTAGATACGCCGCTACTGTACCACTAGAGCTGTCGTGACCTTGATCCTCCCGGACAACACTAACTTCCCATCTCAACCTCACCTTTTGAATTTCTCTCCTTTTTGCCATTTTTCAAATGTCGTGTAATCTATTTGATTCTCGGCGACAAATGAAATGGCCACGGAGAGTTTTAGTGAAGGTATACTTCATTTTAACTTATTAAATTCACTAGTTTTCGTGGTCCGCATGACCAATTAATATCTTTCAATTTAAGGTTGAGATGAAAAAGTCATTGTCACGAGCGGGATTCGAACCCACGACCTTCGGCTAGATACGCCACTGCTCTACCACTTGAGCTGTCGTGACCTTGATCCACTTGGACTTGGACACTAACTTCCCATCTCAACCCCACCTTTCGAATTTTCCTTTTTTGCCATTTTTCAAATGTTGTGTAATCTATTTGATTGTTGGTGACAAATGAAATGGCCACAGTGTGCTTTGGAGAAGTATACTTCATTTAACTTATTAAATTCATTAGTTTTCGTGGTCTGCTTGACAAATTAATATCTTTCAATTAATCTAGCCATATCTAGCCGAAGTTCGTGGGTTCGAATCCTGCTTGGACACTGACTTTTTTATATCAACTAAAAACCTTAATTAATTATAATATATTAATTGGTCAAGTGGACCACGAAAACTAGTGAATTGTAATTAAAGTGAGTGTTAAACAAAGGGTGCAAGACTTGGCTGTGAAGTTTTCCATCAGATAGACCCAGCCAAGTGAAATGGTCCGGCAGTAGATTGTATAATGTATAGTGAAAAATAAAATAAAATAATTGAAAACTAACTCACCCTCCGCTCGTCGCTTTCCTTCATCCACGAGGAATCGTGGGGGAACAGGGAAAGGTAGAAATTGTTGAAAGGAAAACGGATCATTACACTTATTGCCCCAAATAAGTGTAATGACAATAATTGTCCTTTTCTGAAATTTTGACTATATTTTACTTGATTTAGTAAATTTCCTCTTTACAGGAAAGATTGCCAGGGATTTCAACGTTTACAATGAAGAGACAGGAATTCCATTCCGTGGGCTTTTCATTATCGATAAGGCTCAGAATCTAAGGCAGATCACTGTCAATGACTTGCCAGTCGGAAGGGACGTCGATGAAGTCCTCCGTCTTGTTCAAGCATTCCAGTTTACTGATACTCATGGAGAAGGTATAATTATATAATTTCATTTGAATTTTTGTCCAAATTGATGCATTTTGTCTTTGCAGTCTGCCCAGCCAACTGGAAGCCTGGATCAAAGACCTTGGCACCGACAGCTAACGGAATCAAGAGCTACCTTAAAACAGTTTCGTAGTTTAATTTCATATAACATTTTCATCTCTTTTTATTACCAAATAATACCAATACCAAATAAGCCCTATCTAACAGTGGATTTAAAAAAAAAAGTATAAACTTGTTCCTGTTATTTTTAAATTTAAATTAATTTGTTAACAAAATATTTATTCCTTTGTAGTATCTATGCTTATTTGTAACTTTTCAATATGTTGTTTCTATTATTTATTAAGGAATCTCTAAGGTAAGTTGTTCTTTATTGAAGGTTAAAAAAATTAGTGGCTGAAACTTGGTTTCCACTGTTAAAAATATTCATCACAACCAGTTGTACTCATTTGAGATTATTCTTTCTGAAATATAAATCAATTAAGAACAGAAGTATAACTATTTTTCCTATTTCCTTCTCCTTTTTCATTCATTACTTTTAATAATTTAAAAAAAATTGGTATTGGTAAGAATTGGTAAATATATAAGAACAACTGATCTTTAAAGCTTAAACTGAAACATCTTATATTTTCAATCGTTTCTATACTTTCCTCCTGTAAACCCTTGTCTTTTTTTTTTCTTTGAATGTAAAATTTATTAGGTAGAATTGAGTTGGTACTGACGAGTAGAATTATTTGTTCAAAATCCTCACTAATACTTTTGTTTTGTATTATTACTACTTTCCTTGGAAAAAAAAATCTTACCAAACCTCATCATCTCAGAATCAATATACATGTTGGGTTGCATCTAGTAATGGAATGGTTAATATACGTAATGGTGGCAGTTCAAACTCTGTACTAATCTTCAGAATTGTAAGTATTGGAGAAAATTTATGAATAGCACTTTTTTCTTTCTTTTTTTGTATGTATATAAATTGCGTTGAACTTGTCAATTTCAATGTTAAACCTTGAATGCTCAACCTTTATTATTATTAACTTAAACCTTATTAACAAACCTTTATGCAATTTTTATAGTGATGCTAAAAAGTGAATGTTTCGATTGGATTTTTGTAATGGAATAGAAATGATATTGATAAAAATACTCGGAGAAATAATTTACCATACACACATCATATAATGTGTGACATGACAATTACTTTAAACCTTCACAGATTAGATTAAATATTTATTAACTTTAGCAGTAAAAAATGCAAAATGTATTTGTAAATCCAAACTCTGTATGTCTTATTTTTTGACTTGCAGTATTTATAGGAAATAGATTTATAGAAAAAATGTTTATCCGTTCTTGCCGTTGGGCCCCCAGAGAGTTTAAAAAAAGTAATTTAAATAATTTTTTTCTAATAAAGTTTCTGCCTTTGTTCACGTATTTCGGTTTTTTCAAAAATATAAGTCAATTTGTTCTTTTGTGTAGGATAAGAGAAATACTATATAAGATCGTGTAACAGGTTATAAAAGAGTTACAAAAATCCTCTAAAACATCCACAAAACCTCCAATAAAGTAGTCCAAAAAATTAGTTTTCGAAAATTGGATTAGTTAAGTTACTCTTAAATAGCACACTTTATAGCAAACAAATTTTTAGATCAGATAAGCCAGAGCATTATTTTCCTGTCCAATGCCCAGAGTGCCAATTATATTTATAACACCTCGGGATTTTATCCAAAATCCATGTTATTACATTCATTAGTAAAATTAATTAAGGCTTTTAGTTAGGATAAAAAAGTCTGTGTCATGTGCGGGATTCAAACCCACGATCTTCGGCCAGGTATGCCGCTGCTCTACCACTTGAGCTATCGTGACCTTGATTCACTTGGACACTAACTTTCCATCTCAACCCCACCTTTTGAATTTTCCCTCCTTTTTTTCCTTTCCAAAAGGAGTGAAAATTCAAAAGGTGGGGTTGAGATAGGAAGTTAGTGTCCGAGTGGATCGAAGTCACGATAGCTCAAATGGTAGAGCAGTGGCATATCGAGCAGAAGATCGTGGGTTTGAATCCCGCTCGTGACACTTTTTTATCTCAACTAAAAGCTTTAATTAATTGAAAGATTTTAATTGGGTAAGCGGACCACGAAACTAGTGAATTTAGTAAAATTAATTTCTCTTGGTTTTTGTCAACAAGGTTTTTATTTAATTTACAGAGGTCAAAGTTATGCAATTACTGAACATTTTTGAAAAAAATCATTTGGAGGCGTTAGATTAATAAAAAAACCCTTTTTGATTTTCCCATAATTTGTATTTACTGGGTTTTCTGGGTGCAGAAAAATAATATCTACTTTGTTTCTTGCTAATTTTTTTAAAAACCTACTTTGCTATGTTGTATGTATTGTATTTTAATCCAGTTTAAAACAAAATATTTGCTGTAAAAATTTGTATTTATGGGCTTTAACAATGAATCCCAAATTGTTAAAAAAATTTAACCATCTTTACTGAGAGCGTCTTTGTTTTTATAACTTTTTAGGGTACTGGGGTGAGATTCTCAGCTCGTATAATGGTCGTGGGTTCGATTCCTACCGTTGCCCCTTGGAAATTTCTAACCCCTCCCCATCCCATAAAATATTCTGTTTATGGGCTCCGGCTAGTATGCACAAAACAAGGCATTCTCATGTTAATAAGTCCTGCATATTATTTTCTTATATGTAAAACAATCAACTGAAATATATAATATCCTTAAAATACATGTGCAAAAAGGCAGAAAACAGCATTAAAAAAAACAAATGGCTTAAATATTGTCCAAGTGGGGCCCATTGGCATGAATGCTCAGACATACATTATTTTTGATCTAATATCGCCTAAAAAAGTCATTGAAATTGATATTCCACGTCTGTAGCGTCCCCTTGTTAGATGGATACAAATAAAATCTGTCAATTTGATTTTAATGTGTTTAGGTCTTCTTAAGTTTATATTTTGGAGATGTGTCCTTAAGGGTAAATAAGAAGTTATTGATTTCCCATTATTTAATTAATTTTTATGTTTATATAGCATGTTAAATATGGTAAGTTTGTTATGGTTTGATCAAGTTAATATGGATTAGTTTGCACGTTAACATTTGCATTTTGTTTTTCTCATGTCTTACAAATTATTAATTTTCATTGTTCTTATTTAATCAGGAAAGATAAAAATGCATGGATATGAAATATAAAATCTTTCTAAAGTCAGCAAGGTCATTAATGAAAAGTTTTCTAATATTAAGATCAATTTTTGTAGATAATTAAAATGATGCATAAATGAATATGTATGAGCAATTGTGTCACATATTGTAGTAGTATATTAAGTTGATCAATAATTTTTTGTGCTTCTAACTTTACTTTTCTGGCTGTATTGTGTAGTATTTTAACTGATTATATTGTTTTATATGTACTCTATAACTAACTTCTTTAATCTAGGGTGTCCGCTTTTTGAGGGATGTAAACACAGAAGAGATTACAGTTTAATTCTTGATTAAAAACCACGGTTTTTTATTTTTGTATTGTTTAAATTTCAAGCATGAAATAATGTTGAAAGGTCTTTAATATAACAGTATTATGTAAACTCATAATTGTATTTTTAAACTGATTTGTTTTTCATTTTAGCCAAATGGAGTCGAGGAAAATAAGAGGACTAGGCCTGAAGGTGTCGAGAAAAACTTAATAAAAAAGCCTAAAGTCTGATTATGTTAGTTTCTTCTTGCATTTATCTTTAAATTTTTTGTTTTGTTCATTCTTTCATTTGAATAACATTTTTATTTCTTGTCTTACTGGATTTTTCCTTAGTGTTGTACATTTGTAATTATCAAGATTGATATTATACTAATTGCCTAATGAGTTGTGACAATTTTAATACGTTTTGGTTACAAAAGATTGGAAAATAAAAATAAATGAGTTACAGAGCAATGAATCTTCCTCTTTTGTTTATTTATTCCATAATTGTTTATAATAATTATATCAGAGTTAATAAACATGAATAACAGAGGACAAAAAACAAGCAAAGTGGCAAAATTAATTATTGTTAGAATTTAGCGACATTGGTTTCTAATTTTGAAATAAAATTTAATTCCTAAGAAATAATGTAAAAATAAATGTTACATACATTAAAGAAAACGAGAGAGATGATTTGGAGGTGTGGATCTAGCATTTTCTTTTCTTTTGAAAAATGGCAAATAGGTTAGGTCTACGGATGAAGGAAAAGCTGATGGCCAAAATACCCAGAAAGGCTCTACATCGTGAGTCATTCAAATGTACCATGACAGAGTCTGTACAGATTAATTTTAGAAACAAAAAAACCACACAGTTGATTAATTGAGAACAGATATTTATGAAAGTAGTTGTTAGTGAACCTTACAAGTTAACCTCAAAAATTATACAAATTATTCATGTTTCTAATAAGTTAGATAATCCACTGATTCTGTGAGGAGGGTTCTTCAGCCAATGGTAGAATTTGTCCATTTATAACTGTAGTTCAACATTTCCTAATCATTTTCAAAAATAAAGGCTGGTGTTTCCCAGGGAAGCGTACTAGGACCTATTCTGTATTTGCTTTACACCAGTGATTGATGACACCGCACCTGTTAGTTGAAAATACTATTGAAACCTTGACAAAATCTTGCAACTTATGACAGAAGATAACAAAATTGGAAACTTAAAATAAATGAATATAATTCTGCAAACATTAATTTTACAAACAGAAAAAACAGACAAAATAATCGATATAAGCGTAAAAATATTACCAACACAAAACAGTGAAGTACATAAGTATGACACTAGACTCTAAACTGAATTTGCCAACCCAAAACCCTCATTTATAACCAGATCATTAAACTGAGCCGGATTTTTAGCATCATAAGCAGTTGATTAAGGAACATGGTTGATGACATTTGTCCATGTGGATAAAAATATTCATCGGGCTCTGAGGATACCAGTGGGATATCCTCAGAAGCATAAATCTCCAAACATCCAAAATCGACAGTCTCACCTTCATAATCGTCCTGTGAGTCGATTGAAGACCAAGCCCTATGAACTTGCATATTGGACATCAGTTTGAACTTTAATGAACTAATTAGGGCACCAGGTGTAAAACTTAAATTTACGTTTTGGATATAGCTGATGAAAAATTGATTAATATATATTTTTAGTAAAACTAGTATGCTAAAATTTAAATTTTTATTGTACAATGTAACTGTAGGTTTAAAGGTCTAACAGAATGGAGAGAGCTGCAATCGCCAAGTCCTTACACTATTATCACAAAGATTAATAATATTTTTAAATCGTATTGAGTGCAACCTTGATGGGTTTTATCGTGTGAGATTAAATCTTTTTGGAAGGATAACCTTGGAGTTATCCTATCCCAACTTATCACTTCCTTTTGCGATACAGATACAATTTTAATAGTACAGTTTTAAATTTTAAGACTAAATTTGGTTTAAGAAAACTATAATAATATTCAGAGGATTTTACCTCAAGGCTGAATATGACTAAGAAATTTTGTCATTTTGTTCTTTAGACAGCAATATTTCACGCATATGGGTCCCCTGTTTAAATTCCTGGAAGAAATGATAGTTTTATGGTATTTTATGGTACATTGCACTGATAACGTTTTGTGTTTCATTTTATGTATGTTGAGACATGTATTTATTAGCGTGAATTTTTAGTGTGAGATTATGTGTGGTAGGCGATGTAGATCCTCTTCAGTCGTCAGGTGAGATTATAGAGGAGATTTCTGTCGAATTAGGATTGGGCAACTCGATTGGGGTGAGGGGAGAGTTTATTGTGGAAATTGGAAAATGTTTTGTGGATTATTTTTTGCACGAGAGAGAATTTGAGGTCATCGTGAGAGGGTGATGGAGGAAACGTAAGGAGCATTGTCTATGGTTCTGAGATCTTGTATGTGTTGGTTCCAGGTTAATCTTGTTGGAACTCGAGGTAGCGGACGCAGTTAATTTCGGGATGGGTCTATTATGGAGGATTGTTGTTTTGCTTCAGAGGGTCAATGATTTATGAGTGCTTTTCCTTGCATTAAACTTTAACGCCAGCTTTTGCTTCATTCGGCTATTTGCAGTTGTGCTTGGAGCTCTAACGAAGCAATTGTGGGATCGGGATCATACAGCTGTGTCGTGGGCAAAGAATGCAAGGATGGTGGAAGGTGAAGTTGAGATATCTGTGTAGAGGAGGTAAAGGATCGGTCTAAGTTCGCTGCCCTGAGGTACTCCCGGCTAGAGGACGATATTGGGAGTAAGCAATCCTTGGTGGATACTGAACAAACGTTAGGTTGAGGATATTTGGAAGGATACGCTTTAGTTTGTACAGGAAGCCAAACGTAGTTAAACGCTCAGACAGCTCATACAGAATTCTTTGCGCTCGCGATGAGGATATACGGTCAGTAGTGGAGTGGAAACTGATGACAGAAATTGGAGGAGCTGAGTATCAGGATTAATCATTTATGGAGGATATTCTCGAATCACTTTGAGAAGGAAAGCAGGATGATTACCCGGTAGGAAGGAGCATTTTGGACAGGTTTACCGGGTATTTTGAAACTAGAGGTCCACATTTGGCAACTATTGTAGCAACAGAATTTAAAATAAAACAGTAAATTTTAATCGCCAAAGTTTTAGAAATAGAAAAAAAATATTTTATTGAATCTAAGAAACCATGAGTGTTTATTACCATTATTGTGCATACTTTACATGACCTTAGTTCATGTTTTAATCATATTAGGATTAGTTCAAAATATTGTTTTAATTTAATTTTGCAAAAAAAATGTAAGGACCAGACATTTTTAGATTGACAGGTCAGGAACTAAATTTTTTCAGGGATCTGAGCAGATCAGATAATAGGATTATTATCTGCACACTTCTCGAAGAGAAACATTGGCAGATTTAAAATCTATCGTTATCAATATTAGAACAAAAAAAAGTTGCGACTCTTTATCTCTTTTTGCTATTTAATCTCAATTTATGTCTATTATAACGTTTACAACCATTGACGCACCATCTTCTGCACGAGTACAATATTGTCTTTTTTCACTAGTGAGCATTTCGAAAGTTATGAAAGATTTGTGTGACAACGGGTTAAGAAAGAATCCGTCCATGAGGTACAAAATGGATTTCAAATATTGCATGACACTGAAAGTCACGGGTTAGTAATTTTGTAAATTTATTTACTCTTTGGTATTCAATGGGTAACAAGAGACGGTATTTTAGGTGTGTTTTTATTTTTCGTTATTTTTATCACAACTGGATATGTAGCCATGCGAATCTGGACGACAGACTCATTCGAACGTTTCATCCTACAAGTAAGTAATTAGAAAAATTATCCTGTTTCTAATAATTTACGTTTCTTGGTAGAAAATGGTGATTTAATTTAGTTCGAACACATAGTAAACAAAAAAATCATAACTCAATTTTTTCAGATAATTTTAAATTTTTAGAATTTTAAAACCAGGTTAAAATTTTTTACTTTTGTCCCCGATCTAATAAGGTTTTTTATTCAGATAGTTTTGTCTTAACAAAAAAAATTAAAATAATGTTTGCTTTATCTATAGTAATGTGTGGTGATTAGTGACCGTTAATCGATATTTATTTAGAAATCGTGAGATGCGGTCTGGTGTGATGTAGGTTTCAGAAAAACATTTTCTTTATCGTGCCAACGTTTCGATCTTTATTGAGATCATCTTCAGGGCTCAAAGTGTTTGTCTTCTGTGTAATTGTGCCATTCTTGCATGTCGTGTCGAGAGTGTCCACTCTGCCCTGAAGATGATCCCAATAAAGATCGAAACGTGGGACGATAAAGAAAATGTTTTTCTGAAACCTACATCACATCAGACCGCATCTCACGATTTCTAAATAAATATTTATCTATAGTATTTAAGACAAACTCAAGAACCAAAACGTTCGAAATTTGAAACTTTCCAGTGACATAGCAGATTTGCCACTTCAAGTTTACTGAAATATTATTAAATGATACAAAGGGTTCGTAAATAATGCAAGGTTTAAAAATTAAAATAATATTCAGGCTATTTTGTTTTTGTTCAGTTGAGCTAGACGTGACAAAGGGTAGTAGCCCCCGAGAATTTTACGAAAGGTCGGTGCTACCAGAAGACAAAGGGTAGTCACTAATCAGTAGTTAAGAAACATTGAGTAACTAATTAGTAATTGTGTAAAGATTGTGAGATTATCTGTATTGAACAATTAGAATGAGGACATGTAAAAGTCCAAGTAAGACATTTCGACCACAAGAGAACCCTAGGCAAATCTTGGGGGTAAAAACCGAAAATTGCTCATTGGCTACACACGGCAGTAATAAGACATAAAATAACCTAAGGATCTTTAATCTGGTGGTCCAAAGCTTTTGCAACTAGAAACTGTGCTAGACCTACCTGCACTAGAAACATTTATACAAGGAGAGGCTAGGAAAAGCTCATTTAGGCTCCAAAAACAATCAAATTGGATAGGAATTTGTAGGTTTTCAATGTTTTTAATAAGTTCGCATTTCACGATGTAAACGATTTATTTGTTTTATATGTTACAAGTTTTACAAGGAATCGGATCGGGCATTTTCTGTTCAAGTCCAAAACATGAGCAATCAAACTCATTAGGGAAGTACACTTCGATCTTTCAAGCAGAAATACATGCCATCAATGCTTGTGGCCTAGAAAATCTTAAAAGAGGTTATACTGGAAAAAAAATCCTCATAAGATCTGACATCTAAACAGCCTTTAAAGCATTAGCATGTAAAAGAATCACATCAAAATTAATCAGTGAATGCATCCAAAATCTACAAAACCTGGAGAACACCAGATGATATCGTAGGTGCCAGGACACAAAGGAATGGATAACGAGAAAGCAGAATGACTTGCCTGACGAGGATCCGCAAGACCATATATAAGCCCCCGAACCTATACTTGGGATAACAAAAACAAATATAGAATCCTCCATCGCAAAATAAAACAAAAGGAAAAGTGGATAAACTCTAGTAGCCCTAGACACAGTAAACATATTTTAAAACTACCCTTACCAAGACTGGCAAATTAACTGCTGCAGTTGGGGAGGGTTAGACTCAAAGGAGTGATAGGTCTATTAACCGGTCTCAGATGCCAAGAAAACATATACACAACATGGGCATGTATATCGATGATCCCATCTGCAGATTATGTAATGTGGAGGAGGAAACAGCCACACGTATCATCTTCGAATGCGAAGCGACGGCTCAATGGAGAAGCATACAGAAAAAACCCTAGAGAATGAAATTGTGGCAGAAACAATCAATGACCTAACATTTCTGAGAAGTATTGGGTCTATTGCCCTGAACTAGAAGGTACAATAAGCCGGAAGGGTGCAGTACCTGGGGAGTACAAACCTGCTTCCTAGTATCCTCATCATCATCACCACATTTTATGTCTTCTTTGGACGCCCGAGAACCCCCTCCAAAAGAAACTTCAAGAAATGCAAAATGGTAGAAGGTAGTAGCTTCTACGGGGAAGAAAGCCCCAGGTTTGCAAAAGGTCGGTGCCACCAAAAGTGTAGTCACTGATCAGTCAGTAAGTCAGCAGGTGAGTTGGTAACGAGTCAGTTACATCTAAAGTTGGACTTTAGTGCTCAGTGATGAGCTATAATTCGAATTTTAAATGGACCAGTTGTTGGTTGTAAAAGTGGAGTAGAGTGTGTTGACACTAAGTTAGATTTTTATGGAGTGTGAGAATTTGGTCGAGGAGGGTCTGGCTTCGGCTTAATAACGCCTTTGTAGATTTTAAGCAGTTAATGAATATTGTTTTGAGAAGTGAAATGAAATGATCCGAATTATTATGTTTTAATTGCCTCAAATGACGGATTCGGAATCCTGACTGATTGACTCTCCAAGATATCTCCCAGCCTTTTTTCCACCCCTTCAAATTACGACAGTTGGAATGGGCAGTTTATTTTTTAATAGACAGTCCATGTTACACACTGAGAAGAACAAAAGTGGTCTTTTTTGGTTAGTATATAAATCTTCTTTCTAACGTTCCGGTGGTTTGATATTTTAAGTTGTACCATTTTTTTAAGTTTTAAATTTGTTTGAATGATGGTTTTAAGTGATACAGATTCGGCTGAATCAGCATTTTTGGAAGATGGAAGAAGTCAAGCGTGCTTAACAGGGTGCTTAATATTCCCAGAACAACTCTCCAATGGATTTAAATTCACTAATTTCGTGGTCCGCTTGACCAGTTAATATATTACAATTAGTTAAGGTTTTTAGTTGGGATAAAAAAGTCATGGCACGAGCGGGATTCGAACCCACGATCTTCGGCTAGATACGCCGTTGCTCTACCACTTGAGCTATCGTGACCTCGATCCACTCGGACATCAACTTCCCATCTCAACCCCACCTTTTGAATTTTCCCTCCTTTTTGCCATTTTTTATATGTCGTGTAATCGGATTGGATTCTCGACGACAAATGAAATGGCCACGGAGAGCTTAAGTGAAGTATACTTCATTTTCAATCATTAAATTCACTAATTTCGTGGTCCACTTAACCAATTAATATATTACAATTAATTAAGGTGGTAGAGCAGCGGCGTATCTAGCCGAAGATCGTGGGTTCGAATCCCGCTCGTGTCATTGACTTTTTTATCTCAACTAAAAACCTTAATCTCCAAAGGATCTTCCATTGTTACCATGATACTTAAAGGTTACTAAAGAAAGCTTGAATGAGATCGCCATCGTGTCACATCTCAGAGTGATGATTATTTTATTGTTTCGAATGTACTAAGTAATCGTCATTGTGCCACTGTGGAGATCAAGCAACGACTTCAACAAGTCACGATAGCTCATGTGGTGAGAGCAGCGGCGTATCGAACCGAAGGCCGTGGGTTCGAATCCCGCTCTTGACACTAACTTTTCCATTTCAACCAACACCTTACCTAAAGATTAATTAATTGAAAGAAGTTATTTGAAGAAGAATAAGAAAAATAACTTTATTCTGGGACTGGTGTCCCCTAAGAATAAAGAAATAAATAAAGGAAGTTCCTTCTATGAAGTTAAAAGTAAAAAAAAGATAGAAATCTTGGCACAATGTATAAATAAGGCAGGACAGAAGAAAAAATTACGAGAATATTAAACAAAAATAACAAATGTTAACGTGAGGTCTCTGCTTGGAGGGAGAGGAGGTGATTATACAGGTGTGATTTAAAGGAGGAAAAGGAGGCAGCGTGACGAAAAGAAAGGGGAAGGGAGTTCCAGAATTTAGGGGCTCGGATCAGAAAGGATCTTTCGAATGTCTGGGTTGTATGTTGCGGAAGGATAAGGTCGATTGGGGATGAGCGGGTCTTACGAGTGAGATGTGAGGAGTTGAATTGGAGGGATTGGATGATGTAAGGAGGACGACGAGTGTGGATGGACTGGAAAAGAAACCTAGGAAATACTGTGCACGGAAGGAGGGGAATAGCCAGAAAAGTTGGGATTACAACCCCGACACCCGGGATCTCCGTGGGGTGCCGTACACAAATCTTACGCAACAATTCATAATACGCATCAATCGCGCGTTCTCCCCCTCCGAGAGACCACCGTAAGTTTAAGGAAGATACAAGGAGTTTGCGGGTGGAGAAAGGTAAGAGAAGCCAGGACCGACGAAACAGGCTGAGGGAGGCAATGGAATGGCGGGAAATTTGGGAAATGTGAGAATGCCAGGAAAGGTTTTGGTCAAAGACTACTCCTAGGTTTTTCACCGAAGAGCAGAAGGGGATGGGATATTATTTAGCATGAGAGGTGGGATGCTGGGGAGGGAATTGAGGAGTTGTCTGTACCCGATAATTATGGCGGTGGATTTGGACAGATTGAGGACTAGGGAATTTTTATGGTCCCATTCGTTGATGGAGTTTAGGTCTTTTTGGATCTTGAGAGTGGCCGAGTGACGATCGGAAGGGTGGAAGGATATGTATATTTGGGAGTCATCGGCATATAGGTGATAGTTACAGGACTGGATGGAGTCGGGCAGATCATTGATATAAATGGAAAAAAGGATAGGAGAGATGCTAGAGCCTTGGGGCACCCCAGATTTCAGAGGGAGGAAGGAGGAGGTAAGGCCATTGGGAAGGGAGACAGCTGGGTGGCGATTGGTAAGGTAGGAGTGGAACCAACGGATGGTGCTGGCGGAGAAGGAAAAAGATTCGAGGACAAAATATCCCTTAATATCAAAATCCCTTCCTAACATCAAAACATATAAAAATCCCTAACCATCCCTATTTGGTCAATCGGACCGCGAAATATAATGGACGTCAACAAGTTAATGTCAGTTTACGCACTGTCAGGCATTCGCTTGTTTTTGTTATTTTTAAGAATCGTTTGTCATTGCCACCGTCAATTATCTTCTGGGAAAAGATCTGTTATCGACATATCTTTGATAGTGTAACACGTGGATCACAGATTTCAATGAAACTGGTTGCAAGATCGAAAAATATTAGACGTGTCCGGCCATTCTTGCCATTGGGACATAGTAGCAAAGAAAACAAAATGTCTTAAGTAATTTACATAATATTCTGTAAAGATGGATTTCTGTTTGCTGTGAATGTATTTCAATGTTATTATATAATAATCAATTTTTTTTCGTAGGACAATAGAATATGAGAATAAATTTATAATTAAAAAAAACAAAACAATACGCTTCCAATACACTAGGCTATACAATTTTTTTTGAAAAAATAATTCGGATTAGTTTTTAGCACCCTTTATAGTATTTAAATGCGAAATTTTATAGCAAACAAAACATAGATATTTTTGGGATTGATTCTCCGGGGAGATTTTTGTTGCTTCACTAAAAAATTCATAACACCTCTGGATTTGATACAAAATGAACATTATTACTCTGCTAGAGTATGATTTTATGTCATAATGAGGGAGAAAGATTATGAAACGAACAAAAATGACACAAACGTTTTATTTTATGTCTCCAGTTCTAATTTTTTTAAATTGAATTTTAATATTTTTGCACCTATTTTCGGAGAGTTTCTCTTTCTTCGGTTTTATTCTTTGATGACTAACAACAAGACGTATTTTAACGGATTTTAATTGAACTTTTTATGGTTGATATACCCGATAGTTCTTGCCATTGGATCTTACGAGCCGAGTAATTTTTTTGCTTAAAATAATTTATACATTCTTTCGATTAATTCGCCGAGATTCGAATAGATTACGTGACATTTGAAAAATGGCAAAAAAGAGGGAAAACTCAAGTGGTAGAGCAGCGGCGTATTTAGCCGAAGGCAGTGGGTTCGAACCCCGCTCGTGACGCTGACTTTTTATCTCAACCAATACCTTACCTAAAGATTAATTAATTGAAAGAAGTTATTTCGTCAATCGGACCACGAAACCTAATGGATAATTTATACATTTATTTATTTAAATATATATTTTTTTGCGTTTGTTATGTATATTTCAAGGTTATGAGTTGATTTAATTTTTTTAACCTAGAATAAGAATTATTTTTGTAAACGCTATCAACAACATGTGGGTTATTTCCAATAGATAAGAAAATTGTATACCAGTTATATTAAATGAGATGAGATATATGAAATCTACAAAATGCAAAAGACGCTTTTAAAGAAGTAGGTCAAAAAAATGTTTGTGATAACCCCCTTACACAGTTTGTTAAAAAAATTCGGTTTTCTTTTCGGCACTCTTTATAAACCATAAAAATGCATTGTTATAGCAAACAAAAAATAGACATTGTACTATGTTGGTCTACTTTACTTGAAGCGTCTTTTCATTTTTGTAACTTTTTATATGTCTAATCCTAATATCTAAGATATATAAAAAGTTACACAAATGAAAAGACGCTTCCAGTAAGTTTTGAATAACTCCAGACCAAGGCATCAGGATTGATGACATTTTTTCTAATCTTTTTTTCTGGAACCAAAGGAGCAAGTCTTGCTGTCGGTTGAGGTTTGATACATAAAAAGGAGATCTAATAATTTGTTGTGGGTTGAGGTTTGATACATAAAAAGGAGAACTAAAAATTTGTTGTGGGTTGACGTTTGATAGATAAAAAGAAGAGCTAAAAATTTGTTGTGGGTTGAAGTTTGATAGATAAAAAGGAGGTCTAAAAATTTGATGTGGGTTGAGGTTTGATGCATAAAAAGAAGATCCGCCTGTCAACATCTGCAATCTGCAGAAGGTGCGACGTGAATCAGGACATGGCACATGTCCTATTCCACTGTGCACAGTATGAAACCCACAGAAATCCTCTGACAAAAAGTTCCTAAGTTGGCCAGCGGAAAAACAGATGCTTTTGTCCGCCGGTATAGGGTCTCCCTTAGGTACGGCGAGGAAGGTCCTTAATTTGATGAAGAAATATCAAGGGAATGAATCGTTTCTGTATCCAAATTTGAACAAAAGATGTAATTTTGTTGCTCTTAACATCAATTATTCTGATTATTTCCAATAACTCTGTAGTGGTTGAATTTATTTTACTTTTGTTTACGTGTTTTGTTTTGGAATATTTGAGATTAGCTAGTGCCCATCATCACTGTAAATATTCGATTTGACATTTTTCAAGCCTAGCAGGAATTTTCTACTTGGATTTTTAGATGTATAGAGTTAAGATTCTATAAAAAGAACACCTTATTGTTGACAACAGAGTAATTTTGATATATATTTTTTATTATAAAAATGATAACAAAATCATGTACATTGGTTGGATATAAAATATTGTTTTAAGTGTGTGGTGTTTAGTGGCTGTTAGTCAATGATTATTCGGAAATCGTGAGATGCGGTCTGGTGTGATGTAGGTTTTAGAAAAACATTTTCTTTATTGTGCCAACGTTTCGATTTTTATTGAGATCATCTTCAGGGGCTGGGATTTACAAACATTGTTTAAATTTAACAAAAACATGTAGGATGTGGAAAAAAGTGAATTTACACATTGCTAGAAAATTTCAGATTAAAAAATATGAATTTATATAATGATAGAATTTTTTTATAATATTTGAATCTAAAATTTTCTATCATTATATCAATTCATTTTTTTAAATCTAGTTTTCTAGCATTGTATAAATCCATATTTTTATCTGAAATTTTCTAGCATTACATAAATTCCTTTTTTTTAATCTAAAATTTTCTAGAATTGTATAAATTCATTTTTTATCTAAAATTTTCTAGCATTATATAAATTCATTTTTTAATCTAAAATTGTATAAATTCATTTTTTATCTAAAATCTTCTAGCATTATATCAATTCATTTTTTTTAATCTAAAATTTTCTAGCATTGTATAAATTCATTTTTTTCATCTAAAATTTTCTACCATTGTATAAATTCATTTTTTTTCATCTAAAATTTTCTACCATTGTATAAATTCATTTTTTTTTTCATCTAAAATTTTCCACCATTGTATAAATTCATTTTTTAATCTAAAATTTTGTAGCATTATATAAATTAATTTTTTTAATCTAAAATTTTCTACCATTGTATAAATTCATTTTTTAATCTAAAATTTTGTAGCATTATATAAATTCATTTTTTTAATCTAAAATTTTCTAGCATTGTATAAATTCATTTTTTAATCTAAAATTTTCTAGCATTGTATAAATTCATTTTTTATCTAAAATTCTATGCCATTGTATAAATTCATTTTTTTCACATTCTACATTTATTTTTAAAGTTTAAATAATGTTTATAAATCCCAAGCTCTGAAGATGATCTCAATAAAGATTGAAACGTTGGCACGATAAAGAAAACTGTTTTTCTAAAACCTACGCCACACCAGACCGCATCTCACGTTATCCGAATAATCTCTGAAAACTGTATCAAAATATTGTGTCTGAATAACGCTGTTTTTCTATATAAAATCGCTTCTTTGTTTTGTAACAATCATCATAATGCATGGTTGTTTTTTAGAGGCTCAAAGTAATCAACGGCACTCGTATTTACGATATATGGAAACAACCCGATGCCTACTCACTTGCGTACGTGTACCCTTTCAATTACACGAATATCGACCGACTCAACAAAGGAGAAAAATTGAAAGTTGAAGAACTTGGCCCTTACGTTTTCGAGTAACTGAAATTTATGATTTTGTTTAACTTCAGTGAATAAAAAATTTGGAGTTTTTCAGGGAGAGGATGCACAAGGAGAACGTCGTCTTCCAAAGTGACAAATTAGTCACTTACAACGAAAATATGACCCATCAATTTCGACCGGAGCTCTCGAAAGGATCGCTCAACGATTCGATAATCACGCCCGACGTTATTGTCCTAGTACGTCTTTCGTCTACTTCTAAGCCACACCTTTCAATAATTTTTTTTCCAGGCTGCCATCAGTAAGAATATCGGAAACGTATTCAACACCGGTGCCCTCAGGTTGATGCTCACGACGGCGAAAGCGAGCCCGTTCAAATCTTATTCGGCGAAAGACTTGATATTTGGCTCCGATAAGGACAGATTATCATCCACAATGAGGATTCTCTCAAGATTATTAAACAACGAAGACATTCCGAAATTTGGAGTTCTTGCACAAGTAAAAAATGTCGTATTTTACAATAGTTACAAGTTCAAGTAGTTCATTAAGGTTTTTTAGTTGAGATAAAAAAGTTAATGGCACGAGCGGGATTCGAACCCACGATCCTCGGCTAGATACGCCGCTGCTCTACCACTTGATCCATCATGACCTCGATCCACTCGGACACTAACTTCCCATCTCAACTCCACCTTTTGAATTTTCCCTCCTTTTTGCCATTTTTTCAAAGCATTTTCAAAATACTATATAAGATCGTGTAACTAGTTATATAAAAAGTTACAAAAATCCTCCTAAACATCCACAAAACCTCCAATAAAGTAATCCAAAAAATTAGTTTTTGAAAATTGGATTAGTTAAGTTACTCTTAAATAGCACACTTTATAGCAAACAAATTTTTAGATCAGATAAGCCAGAGCATTATTTTCCTGTCCAATGCCCAGAGTGCCAATTAAATATTTATAACACCTCGGGATTTTATCCAAAATCCATGTTATTACATTCATTAGTAAAATTAATTAAGGCTTTTAGTAAGGATAAAAAAGTCTGTGTAATGGGCGGGATTCAAACCCACGATCTTCGGCTTGATACACCGCTGCTCTACCACTTGAGC